GAACAAAGCAGGAAACATCACAATCCCGGACTACAAAACTTCAAAGCTACAGTTACAGAAAATACCATAGAATTGGCAAAAACACAGACCTGTGATGCAAAAGAGAATGCAAAAGCAACTTCAGAACGTTCAGCTATCTGATCTTTGACAAAGCCACCCAAAACATAAAGAAAACCTCTTTAAATGGTGCTGAGAAAACTAGTTATCCACATGCATAAGATTGAATCTAGACCCATATTTCTCACCATGTACTAAACTGAAATCAAAATGAATAAATATTAAGCCAGAAACAATCTGCTGTAAGATAAAGTAGGTAAAACTCTTGAAGACATAGGCATAGGCAAAGACTTTCTAATCCGAACCCAAATGCACAAGAAATAATACCAAGAATCAACAAATGGGATTATATCAAACTAAAAAGCTTCTGTACAGCAAAGGAAACAACCAACAGAGTGAAGGGACAACATGCAGAATGGACAAAAAATTTCATCAGCTACATATCAGACAGAGGACTAATATCTAAAATATATAAAGTACTCAAAACAATTAGTCACCCAAAAATAAAAGACCCAACCAAAAACTGGGCAACTGAAATGAACATACACTTCTCAGAAGAAGAAACACAATAATGAATAAATACATGAAAAAATGTTCAATGTCTCTGGTCATTTGACAAATACAAATTAAAACAACACTGAGATTCTATCTTACGCCAGAAAGAATGGCCATCGTCAAAAAAATCAAATAATAACAAATGCTGGCCAGGTTGCAGGGGACAGAAGGAACCCTTCTCTACATTATGGAAATCAATATGGAAATTCCTCAAAAAATGAAACCTAAACATTATGTTCAACCCAGCTATTCACCTTCTTGGTAACTTCCCAAAAGAGTTAAAGACATTATATTAAAGCAATATAAGCACATCCATGTTTAAAGCAGCACAATTCATAATAGCTCAATCTTGAAAGCAGCCTATATGTCTATCAACAGATAAATGGATAAATAAAATGTGATATTTATATACAGTAAAGTATTACTATGCTATAAATTAAGTCACTTGTACAAAAATGGATGACGGAAGACCATAATGTTAAATATAGTATATCAGACACACAAGCTTAAATATCACATAGTTTATCTATACGTAAAACCCAAACTTTAAAGAACAAAATAAAAGATAATAAGAAATAGGGATAGATTTTTTGCAGATAACAAGGGGAACAAGAGATGGGGAAGGGGGAGGAAAGAGAGAGGAAGAGGATGAAAAAAGAACTAGGAAGTATTATTTATGTACATGCGCCAACTCCCTACAAGGAATGTGATCATTATGCACTTCAAACACATACTAATAAAGTAGAAAAACTGAGAAAAAACAATAAACATTTTCTGATTGACTACTACATATGTGACCATTGCAATAAACCTTAGAGATCACAGAAATCTTGTCCCCAGAGTTTAACAACATATTATTTCAGGGAATGAAGATTTAATTTTATAGAAATAGTCAGGATATCAAATTCTGTCCTGTCTCAAATCCAAGTTTCTTCCTTCTTCCCTTCCCTAGTACATTAGCAGAATTTGGGCTGTTTTACAATGTTGTTAGTGTGTGACGTTCATAAGTATGACTTAAAAGCCATTTTTAGAAAGCTCATCTTATTTCTGTAAAACGGCACAATATATCTTTCCTTTCTCTTCATTAACGTTAGGAGACAGAACATAAAAGAAAACAATAGCTACACTACTGCTGCTACAGCATCCTACTTAAGGATTCCTTTTTTTGAAGATGGAAAAAAGAATAATCAGAAGTAGGAAATATCTGTACCATTATACAGTATTGAGGAGACCATAATTTATGTGTGAGTTTATATCCTCTTTTCTAAAAGGTTGCTCTCTTAGTTGAACTGGGCTAAAGATATTCCCATTTTATATAAAAAAATGAAGTTGCAAAAATGTGACCTCTAAGTCCTACAAAAGGAGGAAAATTGCTCACTTTCCTAATTCTTACAATGTGGTAGGAACAACCAAAATGGCAATTTTATTTGAATATTAAATAGTAATGAAATGTGCTTCAAACATCTCTATGTTTCATACAGTTTGAAAATATAATACAAATAGTCAAGCCTTATCCCTGGGGAATAGTCTCCCCCTCTCTGGTACCAGGGACTCAAACTCAGGACCTTGCACTTGCAAGGCAGGTGGGGTGCCACTGAGCTAAATCCCGGCTGTGGTGAGTAGTCTTAATGGATGATGGGAACAGAAATAGAAGAACCCCAGTACTGAGGGAAATAAACACAGAGAATTAATTGGGCAATAATGCGGCCTGAGTAATTAGACTGAACATGAAAATCAAAGCCAAGAACAGAACAAATGAAAAACTCTTCTGCCACTCTAAAGACTTAAGCATGATTTCATTTGCAATGGTGGGGGGGTGCCCATATCTATGCTATGGAAAAGCTGGACAAGACTTACAGATGATGTGAAAGATTACTCAAGTTTTTCCCCTAGACCAACAAAACAGATAACGGTAATTTTGTCATTTCAAACTTCTACACGGCACCTTTAGAATTTGCCGAAGTTTGAAGTTCTTTGTTCTTTCAAAGGAAGAGAGTAGTAACAAGTAACAATAGTGTGCTTCCTGGCCTTAGGAAGAGGGAAAAGGGAGCTCTCCAGCTGTACTTCCTAGAGAAGAATGCCAGCTGCTTTTTGCAAACTGAGATCAAATTGCCAAGAATTTATAGGACAGCCGTCATGATGGATAGCTGAAAATACTGATCTGCTGCAAAGAGGATGTAGTGCAAACCACACAGGAACTGACAGGAAATCAGCCCCGAGGTTGGCACTTAAAACATTCAAGAAGGCTAAGATTCTCGACCTCTGACAGTCAAATTTCATTATCTTCCTTTGTATGAAGAGAACAGTCACAAAAATCCTGTCCAAAGCTCTTTGGTAACCAATCCTATTTCACAGCACTGCCCCTGCCTGAACCAGTAGTTTCTCACGTGTTAAGAGGCCTCTAAAGGTCTTAGCTTACTTGACCAAAAATCACATGTTTGCTGGCACACACCTTCATCCTTACAGCCATGAGCCCACTGAAAGGCATACATGACTCACAGACTGTGATGACGGTAAGAAAAACTAATATTTGGAGTTCACCAAATAGTGAGTCATACTCCTGAAAGAAAAGAATTCCTTGCTATTGGCAGCCCTTTAGTATGAAATTTTAAAAACTGTTTTTAACATTAATATTAATTCCATAAAATCTGGCAAACACTAAGCGAGAAATGTGGTATTTGGTTGTCTTACGTCAAGTAAAAGTCCAGTTCATGCTCCAAGAAAAAGGAGGAGGATATCTATTACCTATTCCTAGATTTGCCTTCTGCACTCACTGCTGCCAAGTTACTCATTCTCCCACACACTTTCCATACTAATTTTGACCCTTTAAGAATCCAAAAGAAGGCTTGCCTCTTTTGCACCCAAATGCCGAAATGGAATCTTTTAGTATCTCACCTTTATAAAGGGAATGTTTGAAAACAGGCCTTTTTGGCTGTGACATCAGTGAGTTGCTGAGGCCTCCAAGGGCCGGAGGAAACATTCCCAGTCCCTCGCAGCGCTGCTGCACTCCTACGGTGCAATCTGGCAATGGCCAGCGACCAAATCTTTAAAGCTGTTTTATGGTATTTAACATATGGTCATAAATTGCTCAGTGCTCTAAAGAGGGGCTAAATTTGCCACCCCTATTGATGAGACATGTTCTTATTTATTTAAATTTAGTGGCAAACTGGCATTTCTCCAGATGGAGGGATTTCGGCATAAGTACAAAGGAAGAACTAACTAGAAATGACTTGTAACTTTTCCATACACTGAATGTAACCATTATCAAACAAGGGCTTATAAGACAATAATGGGAAAAGATTCCAATTCCTACGGCCCGAGGAGGGGAAAATATAAATTGTATTCAATACCTAAGAACAGTAAAAAAATCCTTTTCTCTTTCTCCTATTGGCATCCATCTCTCTTTTCCTTATCCCTTGATTCCTCTCACAAATTAGATGTACTTGGTCTTTATCTGAAATTCTGAATCTACAAAATGTCCCCAAAGTTCCCAAATCCTCTCACATTGATCCATCTTTGCCATGTTTTCTTTTTTTGTTAAGTTGCTTGTTTTTTAACGGCCCTAATTCCCTATGACTAAAGACATAATACTACCGAAACATTTTGTTTCCTTCCTTCTACAAGCTAGCCCACAGCAAAAGACAAGAAAAACAAGGGCTGTAACTAGTAATATTAATGTGAATGGTATCAAAAAATATACATATATAAAGGGTAAAGTTACTAATAGTTTTCTTTTTTGTATGCTGATACAGAAATGTCTTAATCAAAAAAATGATTATTTTGCCTAAAACTGTAACATGAAGAAGAATTTCAATAAATAGGTTTGACAGCAGTCTGGGAACAGAATTATTCTATGAGAATTAGGTTGTTTATAGCACACAAAAATCTCAGTTTTAAATTTCAAGATACAGAAGAGTTTATCTGACAAAGAAATAAATATTTACATATTAATAGGTATAGAGAGATATTGAGTACCAACACATAAAATTTAATAGGAATATCATATATGGAAAAAGATATGGTTTATATCTTTTGGGAGAATGAAATCAGACATCTCAATTATATTCCCCATGGTAGATTAGTGACCCAGGGAAAACTACAAAAGATTAGACAATGCCATACAAAGTCTTCTGTGCAGCCTGAACTGATCTCAAATTCTTGGTCCATCCCAAGTGAGCACCCAATGCCACAAAGTCTTAAGCCAAATTTCATTTAAACTATCTTAAAGATGAAGACAGATCAATGCTCTTAAGGGTTAGAATAACAAAGGAAAAAGACTAGTTCCAAATAGAAACATCACAGCTCTTTGAACACTGCCATTAAAGTCTTAAGTTTTATAAACCACTCTTCATTCTGAGGTCAGACTACAATTTTTAAATTTATTTTACCTATGGTGCAAAAGTACATGAGGTCCCTCTTTTCTGATGGGGCAGGACCACGATCTTGCAAAAGAGGGAATCATTCTGAAACACAAAGATAACTAATAGAAATGCAGGCATTTACTGACACTAAAATTGTACCATCAAATAATATTATGTTACCCAACACATCAATAATTAAATTAAATACAAATGGTCTAAATATCTTAATGAAGAGGCAATGATCATTAGACTTAAAAGCAAGATTCAATTACATACTGCCTATGTGAATTCTGTTTTAAACATAAAGATCCAAATAGATTAAAAAGAAAAGAAAAAAGGGGTCATGTTATATTAATATCACTCAAAAATGATTTCAAAATAAATATACACCCAAGGGGTAGAGTAGCAATTCAAGTTGTTATAAATAATCTTAAACATTTGTTTAATAACAACTTCAAAATACTTGAAGCAAAAAAATAGAATAAGAACAAGTATACAAATCTAAAATTATAGTCTGCAATTTCCACATCCCTCTCTCAAAAACTGCTAGAACTGGACATAAAATTAATAAAGATATAGTACACACAAACCCCAAATTATACTTAAGAGATTTCAATATCCACGTATAAATAATCTAACAAATAGAAAATAAGGAGTATGTTACATTTGTACAACTCTTGACCTAATTATTATTTACAGAACACTCTACCAAAGGATAACAGAACATATTCTTTTCAGTGTGCATGAAACATTTACTAAAGTATGTAGTTCATATTCTAAGTCACAGAACAATCCTAACTAAATTTAAGGCGATTTAAGTCATACAAACAATATTCTCTGACCATGGTAAAATTCAAAGTCAATAACAGCAAGATACCTTCTAGAACCTTCTAGAAACTAAATGACACATTTCTGAGTAATCTACAGGTTGAAAAAGCAATCAAACTGAAAATCAGGAAGTATAATGAAAACAATATAACAAAATTTGCACAATGTAGCTAAAGCAATACTTTACATAAGATGGAACTCTATAGCATTAAATACCAATATTAAAAAGAAGATATAAAATCAGTGACCTCAGCTCTGACCTTAATAAACAAGAAAAAGAAGAGCTCAAAGTAAGAGAACAAACAGATCAGAATGGATATCATTCTGAATTCAGAAAATGGAATTACAAAACAAATAAGGATGAAGTCAAGAGCTGATTTTTTTGAGCACATAAATAAAATAGATACACCACTAATGATATTACTAAAGAGAAAAAGGGAAGTAATATAAATTTACCAAGATCAGGAAGGGCAAGTGACATCACTATAGATTTTACACATTTTTTTAAAAAACTAAGAGATTATGAAAAACTTTTATGCTAATAAATGTAGCAACTTAAATAAAATAGACAATTTCTTTTGAAGATACAAAGTATTAGTGCTCACTCAAGATTAAGTAAATACTGTAACATGAAGGTTCTGTATTAGTAAGAAAAGTATTTGCCTAAATCCAGCATCCAGTCCTGATTTTAAAAACTAAAACCAAAAAACTCTCAACTAAGGGTACTTAACCTGATAAAGGGAAACTGAAAATTACAGCCTACATTATACTTACTGGTGAAAAGCATAATTCTTTTCCCCTAAAATATAGATCAAAGTAAGAACACACTCTCAATACTTTTAGTCAAAAATACATTGGAGTTTCTAATCAGTGTATTTTTTTCTAGTCAGTATAGTAAGGTAATAAAATAAAAGATAAACAGAACAGACTAGAAAGTCAAAAAAAAAGCCCAAATACATACAAAGGCCTTTTTGACAATGGCTCAAAGGCAATTTAGAAGAGAAAGGGCATTCTTTTCAATATATGGTACCAGGACACTTAAATATCCCTATTTGAAAGAAAACAATATCATAAACAAAAATTGACTCAAATGGATCACAGACCTAAATGTAAAATCTAAACCTATAAATCATTTAAAACAAAACAGCACAAAAATCATTGGGATGTTGGGTTAGGCCAAGATTTGTTAAGATGATAGAAAAGGCACAGTCTGAGAGAAAATATTTGCAAATCATACATCTTATAACAGATTTGTATCCAAGTTATGAAGAATTCTCAAAGCATATTAAAGAAAAACCAGGTGTAGTGGCATACACCTGTAATCCCAACACTCAGGAGGCAGAGGCAGGAGGATCACCTCAAGTTCAAGACCATAGTGAAAACGTCTCATAAATAAATAAATAAATAAATAAATAAATAAATAAATAAATAAATAAATAAATAAATAAAATGAAACACAGGGCAAGGATTTAGCTCAGTGGTGCCTTCAACTGCCTCACAAGTGCAAGGTCCTGAGTTCAATCCCCGGTACCAAACAAACAAAAAAGGACAAACACCACACACACACACACACACACACACACACACACACACACACACAGGTTGAGCATCCCTTATCCAAAATGTTTAGGACCAGAATGAGATTTCAGAGTTTTTCATACATTGGAATATCTGCACAGAGTTTACCAGTTAAAGATTTCTACTACAAGTGCCAATAAGACACTCAAGAAGTTTCAGATTTCAGATTGGTTCGGATTTGTGAACCCATAATATTCTTGGGTTCTTACATAAGTGTTAGTACAGTTTTTATGGTAGACTATGAAAAGTTAAAGATGCATAATCAAAACACTAGAATAGCCATGGACAAGATGAAAACAAAGATGTGCAGAATGGAGACAAAATTAAATCCTAAAACATTAATTAATCCAAAATTAGGCAGAAGAAGAAAAAGGAATGAAAAACAGATGAAGCAACAAATGGAAAATAAATATCAAGCTGGTAGACCTAAGTCCTACCATAGTGGTAATTAGATTAAAATTAAATGATCAAAACACTACAATTAAAAGGCAGAGATTCTCTAAAATAATAAAAAACAGTAATCAATGAAATATAACATAATAATACAAAAAATCTATAAAATCAAACGCTGGTTATTTGAAAAGATCAATAAAATTGTTAATCCTCTAGCTAGACTAAGCAGGAAAAGAATCAATTTGCCAATGTCAAAAAGGAAAGAAGGGACACAAGTACAGATCATAAGGACAGTAAAAGCATAATAAAGGAATATTATAAATGACATTTTGTCAATGAACTCAATAATTTGGATGCAATAGGCAAACTTCTCAAAAGACATGACTATGAAAACTCACTTAAGAGTAATTAAATAACCTACTAGCCTTACATCTGTTAAAGAAATTATATTCATAGTTTTTAAAGCCACGCACACGCACACACACACACACACACACTACATGTCCAGATGGCTTCACTAGTGAATCCTCTCATTCAAGGAAGAAATGTCAGAAACTTTCAGAAGACAGAGGATTGCACACTTCCCAACTCATTTCATGAAGCCAGCCTTACTCTGATAACAAAACTAAGCAAAAAAAAAAAAAAAAAAAAA